GCAGATAAGGAAGGAATATTTGAGACTTGTGTCCTAAGACTAATCTTCTGATATACATCTCATTCTGAACCACGGCCACTAAGTATCCTTCCCTTGTCAGCACCGCCCTTCTTTAGCATTACGAAAGCAGCATTCTAGCGAGAAAGGCATGCGATCATGGACCGAAACTCGAGAATTTGAAATCGTCCCTATGCCGTCGTTCCCGTAAATCCAAAGAGGGCCGGAAAGATCTGTTTCTTGACAATTTCACGTAGTTAAGTTGCTATTCGTGTTCAGCACACTGGAGTTTAGAGAAGTTGAGAGAAACCCTGAAAATTTTCCGGACATTGCCTTCAAGGGACGCTCCTTTCTAAATTCCCTCCATCTTTTTGCGGCTGCGTATTTCAAAAAGTAGGCAACTACCCTAAGGGTTGAATTAGAGATTGTTCTTTAATAAATGACTACAAATCGTCTTTTAGGTGGATTTCCAGAATCAAAGTATGGGTGCGCGCATAACGCGATTACAGTACTCCCTTGAACAAATGCAAGCGGCGAAACGCTACTTACCAGAAGAATGTCTCCGAGAGGTTTTTGCAGAAATTGAAGCCAACCACTCAGCTGCAGTAAAAGAGAACAAACTGATTGTAATACGTAATTACGAGGAACTACTGTATTTTCATAAATGTATATTGCAGTATCAGGCACACATAGGCGATGTGCATACATTGCCGGCAGTGCCAAGAGCAACATTGGTGAAGGCAATCGCTCCTACCAGTCCATTGAATTCAGGGTTCAAAGGTATTATCTGAAATGAACTAATCGATTACAATCTAACTAATGACAATTTAGATGTCTTTTCGAGTGTTATATCTACAGATGCTCTTAGAACTGTACAAGATTTTGACAGAATGAAGAACGAACGGCTAAAAATGGAAACTGATAGATTGAATGAACACACAGAGCTGATGGAAGGGTAAAACGCTCTCCCATTTCTTAAGAGATAGAGTTCTTGACCCTAATAAGCTCCCTTTGGAGAAGGCGTCATGTGTTTGATCTTAGATAACAATGCATAGGCACTTCATTTCTCATAAAAAAATCAGCCACTATTGCAGGATTGTAGCTTCACTTGGAATATCAGAAGAAATGTCTACTATTCCAGGATCTGTGAAGCGGCACTCAGCTGAGGTATTGTTTATTGCTATCTACCTGAACGCACATACTCTACACTGCCGGTATATCTTCTGAAAGGATGTTTCAACATGGAAATAGAGCGCTGTTTGGTTAACTAGTTGTCTCAAAAGAGATGGTAAACCATATGAAGGAGAATAAACTGACCGGAAAATTGTTTTACCTGTATTACTTTTCATTTAAATCGGGAAATAGCTACAGGCTTGGGCTTTCTTTGGGTCTAAGAAGGTGAATGTCCCAATTGAAAGAAAACGCAGAGCCTAAGGACAAAAGAGCTTTTGAAATAAGAGACAATCCTATCAACGAAAGCATACTACAGCCCAATCCCACAACATTCACTTCCCCCGTGATCCTTAAAGCGTTGTTCAACAGACTGGTTTCTGAGCTTTCATTTCTCGCCAGGCTAATGCAATGTCTGGCCAAAATATTCCTGCAGGGAAGCAAGTAATCTGCTCCGGACCCTCGTGAAGATTCATACTTAATGTGCTGCACATACTTTCTTCCTGAGCGTAGAATGTCGAACGTCTCACATCAGTAGTCTCTAGCCAGAAGAGCAGAGAATCGTCTTGTCTGGGATCGCGCCGTGCAACTCTTTTCCGTCAGTGCGAAAGGGTGCAGCAATCCTTTGTTTTT